GTATTGTTTCATGAGAGACATGAAATTTTAAAACCATTTCACAGGCTAGACTCAACAAGTCTTCAGGGCATCAATATCAATTCCAACATGTCGGCTCTTGCCATCACACTTTTTAAGGTTAAAGTCACCTGAACGAAATCTGATGACACTTACGAACGTTCAAAACATTTCCATAAACTTCTTTGATATTCTTAATGGCTAAAAGAGGCGTTGTTTCCCTTCTTGTATTCAAACAGCATTACATGCCGAATGTGATGTACGTTTTCTAGGGGGTAGTTAATGAAAGTGCTCCAAAACGCGACATTAATTTCTTGATGACCTAATATGATGACAGGTCTTGCAAAATGGCAACATATGATAACAGATCTTTCAAAATGGCAATATATGATAACAGATCTTGCACGACAGCAACATATGATACCAAGTCTTGCATGATGGAAACATATAAAAACATATCTTGCATGATAGCAACATATAACGACACCATACGATAACAGATCTTGCATGATGACAACATATAACGAAGCCATATGATAATAGGTCTTGAGTGAAAATAACATATGATGCCATATTCAAATAATTCAAATAGTTCAAATAATCAAGTATTTAACGAATAAAACTGAGAGATGTTTACCCTTTTTATTCCATTATTCGAATGATATAACCTGACAGGCTCGAATACCGATGCTTGAATCTGATGAGAAATGCTAAGTTAATCCTGAAAATTTACTTCGAAAGTTGTGATAATTTTTCACTAGCACATCTTAATGTAAATATTCTATTATTTTAAAGGTCCTTTCGCTGTTTAAACACAACTTACCTACTTCATACAGAATAGACAGTTCAGTAGTTCGAACTCAACTTACAGGAAAGTGGAACAAAATGTAGCAGGAGACTAAAACCAGAGATGCTACGATTTCATAACGTACTTGAAGACTAGTTTAACGTATTATATACTAGAATACATAATTAATATACACAATAGTTAATGCATAATATTTAATTACTAATATATAACATTTTATATTTAACTTTGTAGTTGAAATACATAAATCTATCATGGTCTTAACTTTATAACTTAGGTACAGAAGGCTATTGGGATAAAGTTTAATGTTTTTTTGCAGCCCAGAAGGCTTTCAGAGCAAAGTTTAACAATTTTAGAGTCCAGAAAGCTATCGTTGTAAAGTTTACAATTTTTATAGTCTAGAAGGCTATCGGTGTATAGTTTAACAATTTTGCAGTCCAGAAGGCTATAGTTTTAAAGTTTACAATTTTTATAGTCTAGAAGGCTTTCAGGGTAAAGAGTAACAAATTTACAGTATAGAAGACTATAGCTTTAAAGTTTATAATTTTTATAGTTTAGAAGGCTTTCAGGGTAAAGTTTAACAAATTTACAGTATAGAAGACTATAGTTTTAAAGTTTACAATTTTTACAATCCATAAGGCTGTTGTTGTAACCTCAGTGAAACTGGTTGACACCATTGTTTTGATTTTTGAGCTATCTTGTAATAAAAAAGAAGCAGAAGAAAGAACAAGAAATTCAAACTTTTTGCTATGATATTTACAGACATTCCCAGAAGTTGTAACTCAGTCATTACATAGATATTGTTATAAAAGAAAACACAGTATAGTATTGTAAAGTTCTGATTACCTATTGAGGAGAGATTTAAAATACCATTTCGATGAATAATCCGAGCCATCCATACACAGGCAGTGCTGCCACGTGCCTGATTACAGCTCAGAAGGCCAACAAGAGTATAGTTTAAAGTTGTTACAGTTCAGAAGGCTATCAGGGTGTAAAAGTTACTACAGCTCAAAAGGTCGTCAGAGTATAGAAGTTATTACAGCTCGAAAGATCACCAGAGTATGTAGTTGTTACAGCCCAGAAGGTTACCAGGCTAGAGTAGTTGTTACAGCTCAGAGAGTCGTCAGAATAAAGTTGAAGGTTTGTTGCAGCATTTAAGGATATCAGGGTACTCACTCAGCAAGGTGGGTATCTAAATTAACTTTGTATCTTAAACACAGAAGGATAAATGGGCATCATCTTTAAAATTATTACGAAAAATGTTAATAGAGTGTAAACTTGATAGGCTCCTTAACACATTATCTGTTAGGGGATTTAACACTGGTATTGATTCAATACAGAACGCTATAAGGATATTAACTTTATAAGTTATAGAGCTCATTACTAGGTGGATGCACATTTTCACTCATTCCTAATTCCGGTTTGTGTTCTAGTTGCTACACTTATTACAACCTTTCTTAACTAACAGTTTTAAGATCACAACCAGCGAGCATTCTTGTAACTAAATGTAGATATTTTCCTTAGGAAAAGAACTTGCTTTCTCAACGCAGGAATGTCACATAGTTGTGACTATAGGGACCTTGTCAGTGCTGTTGATGAGCAGAAATTCTGGGCATCCGAAAACTCACCAGGCCGTAGGCGAAGATCTGTTTCTTCTCTTACTTTTAACACCCCTAAGACAGGTGCTGCTTCGAGAGTTTCTAGGTTTTTGCATTCACTTCTTCCAAGCCGACGATAGAAGAAATAATCATTTTCAATTGTTATGTAATTACCAAGGTGTAGAAGGTAAGAGCTTTAAAGCTGTATTCACAAGTGTTGAAACTGATTACCATATCTAATGTTTGATGTTGTTTCTTTTAAAGTAAAAGATCCTGTGGAGTGTTGCAGTTGCCCGGTTTTGACTGTGAATTAGACCAAATCAGCGGTCAGGATGAAAGCCATTGGGGAGGGAATAACTCTCCGGGGAAGTGAAGGATATAAGATCATGAGGACCTAATATGTTTTATGAATAGTTACTGACCAGGTTTGATAATTCTTAAATTACGGGTGGTTATAATGGTGGTGGTAATCTTTCCGTAAAAGGTGGTGGGATCCTTTGATGATGGTCATGTCTTTTCGTCATCGAAAAACAACCCTATATTATAACTGTCCAACATTGTTAAATCTACTCATGATTTATAGATAAAACTAAGAAGTGTACGGTATTTAACTTTTTTGTACCAACTATCAACTTTTTGTTTTTGTAAGCCAATGCTAAATGCATTAACTCACGACGCTTGGAGTCAACGTTTTAGTTACTAAAAACTTTGGCCATTTTTCTAACGTGAGTGAATCTACCACTGCTGAAACAAATGATAAAATACAGGTCACGTTATTAGATAATTGATTTGTAGGTCAAGATCTAATAATATCCTTAAGTAAATTACGTAAGTTCGACTAGGAACTTTTTGGTTCATACACGTGTCACACAATATTCAGTCTTACTGGGCTCGTTTCTACTCAGCGGAACGAATATGGTGATATGAACTACAACCGAATTTTCAGTAAAAGAATTAAGGCCACCCATAATAATTTACAAATCTCGCATTTAGAAATCTAACGTAGTGACTAATAGAAGGTGTATGAGAAAGGTTTGTATTGAATAGCCTATTAGGGCAAAGCCTATGACGTAGCATAGATTGAAATTAGGGATGCCAATTGTCATAAGTTTAAGCTTAAATGTGACACATGTTTATTTATTTGGTTTACACTCAAAAACATAAAATCAGATATCCACCATTCATTTCATGTTCATACGTAACATATAATGTTTCAACAAGTAAAGAGGATTTGAAAGTAGGGTTTTTACTTCTGTTTATCAGCACAAAGCTACACATTGGACTATATGTGCCCTTTCCATCGCGGGTTTCGAAACCCGATTTTTAGCGTTATAGGTATGTAGACTTACCGCCGAGTCACCTAGAAGGGAGGGTTAGAAGCAAGTACTCCGAAGTGTAATCATGAAAGTAACAAGGTTTGATCCGAGTTCATTATATGTGTTTTGAAACTTCTTGTGCTGAAACAGTGAGATATGTAGTGCTGCTATAAAGCTTGTAATACAAGTTATCACAGGGTTATTTCAGGCTATAAAGCTTGTAATACAAGTTATCACAGGGTTATTTCAGGCTATAAGGCTTGTAATACAAGTTATCACAGGGTTATTTCAGGCTATAAAGCTTGTAATACAAGTTATCACAGGGTTATTTCAGGCTATAAAGCTTGTAATACAAGTTATCACAGGGTTATTTCAGGCTATAAGGCTTGTAATACAAGTTATCACAGGGTTATTTCAGGCTATAAAGCTTGTAATACAAGTTATCACAGGGTTATTTCAGGCTATAAGGCTTGTAATACAAGTTATCAAAGGGTTATTTCAAGCTATAAGGCTTGTAATACAAGTTATCACAGGTTTATTTCAGGCTATAAGGCTTGTAATACAAGTTATCACAGGTTTATTTCAGGCTATAAAGCTTGTAATACAAGTTATCACAGGGTTATTTCAGGTTATAAGGCTTGTAATACAAGTTATCAAAGGGTTATTTCAGGCTATAAGGCTTGTAATACAAGTTATCACAGGTTTATTTCAGGCTATAAAGCTTGTAATACAAGTTATCACAGGGTTATTTCAGAAATGTTTCTGAGATTGTCATCCATTCATTACACCCATTTTCGAGTTTTTCGAAAGGGGAAAAATACGAGAAAGAAATTACATTTTTACTAAAATTAGCTTACGTTCATAATGTTCGTTACTCTTTTAAAGCTGATGTGCTGTAAAGTTTATAGTGTTAGTAATTCATGGTGTATTTCACATTATGATGAACTACCGTTATCTCGTTAGCTTCACGGGGATGGCAGGATGACGTACGTTTGAGTCATTCGTCATGCAAGTCTAGGTACTGTAAGGTACTAGCAAAGGGGAAATTGAAATGCCTGCCTGCCAAACTAGTAAAACTTGGAAAATTAAGAATTAAGATGTGCCTGGGGCATACTCAAGAACTCTCAAAACTTATATGCAGTCATTGGAAAATTTTGGTCAAGGACGAACAAACAGGCATATTGATACAATTTGTTTGTTTGCTTGTAATTAAGCACAAAGCTACACAATGGGCTATCTGTGCTCTGCCCACCACGGGTATCGAAACCCGGATTTTAGCTTTATAAGTCTGCAGACATACCGCTGTGCCACTGGGGAAGCATATATTGATACAAGGTGTTTTATAATGTAGATTTCAAAAGTTGACTTGCTTTGCAATTTGCCACATCTAAAAAGTTTCACCAATGATAATTCATGTTTTAACAAAATCCTACATTGATAAATCATGTTTTAACAAAAACCTACATTGATAAATCATGTTTTAACAAAAACCTACATTGATAAATCATGTTTTAGCAAAAACCTACATTGATAAATCATGTTTTAACAAAAACCTACATTGATAAATCATGTTTTAACAAAAACCTATTATAAATTAGAACTTTAATATAAAACCTAAGTTCAATTCTGCAATAAAATTAATAGAATTACCAGTTAAAAGCTGCATTTTAGAGTTATCTCATAAAATAGATCAGTGATAAGAAATGTCATCAAAGGGAGCCTTATATAAATTTAGGGTGGAGTTGATTTGCTTGGTGACCTACGAATCAAACTTTTTATCAAATGTTAACTCTGATTTTATACGCACTAAGAGCATAATCTGGACTTAAAGCAGCGTCCTTTAAAACAATACAGTACAAAGACAAAGGGAAAAAGTTATTGGTACTCAAAACTTAACGATTAACGATCTGATGGTATCGGGAAAGATAAAACAACAAAGAAGTAACGAACCTTACTAGTACAACTGCATCACTTATGTGGATAAATAACACAGCAACGCCATTAAAATCTAACGAGAGAGCAATTATCAAAGAGAAGCTTTTCAGTCAAAAGCTTGTCTTTAGATCTTGTTAAAATATACCGTATTGCCTCTAATTAACGCCCCCAAGAGCGTTGCAAACTGCAAAATGGGGGGGGGGCGCTAATGATAGTATTTGTGCAGTTCCGGATTCTATTTTTCACATGTTGATTTCAATGTTAATAAGTGTGTATGTGTGTGTTTGTTTTTCTTCATTTTTTTTTTTCAAAACAAAGTTGCAGTAATAAAATTGTATTATACGTTGGATTACTATTGCTGTCACACAAGGTAAGCTTTATAAAAATGCTGAGGGGGCAATAATTCGAAAGGGGGTGTTAGTTAGGGGCAGTACGGTAGATTTCTATAAAGGAACCAATAAAAAACGTAATGCTAAACTGAAACTTGATAAGGAAAAGTGTTACATTTCTCCAAATAACGATATTCTTAACCATATAAAACAACTCCTCCTACAAGATAATATTTATTTACGTTCATAACTTTACATAAAATTTTAGTAGATACAAGTTCAATATAATTTTTAATGTACGTATTTCATGTCGTTTCAGATCTTTATTCTCTAAGGAACTTGGAAGAAGAGAAAGTCCACTATTTGTGTCAAATTATTGTTTTTCTGATTCGTTTTAAACTCCCTGAAAAAAATAATTTATGTAACTTTTGTTGGATAATGAATTAAAGATATGATAGAATAAAACCTGTGTCATTTCCTGCTATATTTGTTTTTCCCTTTTTTCTCTATGCGACATGATAAAGCAATATTTTTTCAGTCCAATTATCATGCATATATTTATGACAGTGTGTTTTAGAGGTGTCATTTAATGAAGAAATAAGTATCCATGTTGTGTGAACTTGGGAGTATTATTTAGTGAAAGAATGGTAGCTATGTTATTTCAATTTGTGAGGGTGTTATTTATTAACGAAATTGTTCCTATGTTGTCTTGTAGTTATTATTTAGTGAGGAAGTTATAGTTGTGTCCCTCATTAGATAATGTCTACAAGTTCGAACAACACAGCTATAACTTCCTCACTAAATAATCCCTACAAGTTCAAACAACACAGCTATTACTCCCTCATTAGATAATGTCTACAAGTTCAAACAACACAGCTATAACTTCCTCACTAAATAATCCCTACAAGTTCAAACAACACAGCTATTACCACAGCTATAACTTACTCACTAAATAATTCCTACAATGACATGGCTACGATTTCCTCACTACTTGTTTGAACTTGTAGGGATTATCTAGTGAGCAAGTTATAGCTGTGTTGTTTGAGCTTGTAGGCATTAGTTAATGAGGGAGTAATAGCTGTGTTTGAACTTCTAGTTATTATTTAGTGTGAAACAAAGTACAAGCAAAATGTTGATTGACAAAGTAGTTTTTATTTTTCCACAACAAGGTTCTCATATAAACCAGTAGATGGCGAACTTCTAGAGCAAAATTTATCGTTCTTTCAACCGTACTTATTTGCCACCATTTTAGACAACAATGTTTGTTTCATCATGTTCTCGAAAACTATGAGCCAGAAACATTATTTCAGACTCCAAATAAATGAAATAAAACCAAAAGAGAAATCAGACCTGCCTTTGAAATATTGTATTTTTAAGTAAAAGTTTATCATATCCCTAATAGATGGCAGCCGACTCCAATGTGCTATTTAATTGCTCTCAATCGAATGACCTATTTATCCTACTAACAGAAGCTGTTTTGATCATTGTTAATCAGATATTCTGATAAACACAGAAGACACTACCTTGAAAGATCTATTTAACTTTAGTGACCAGAGAAACTAAAACAAATATATGTTCAAATACACATCGTACTAGATAAATAAATAAAAACCAGTAAAATCTTAGGGCTGTAGACAGGTATTAATCCAAAGCAAATATACTTCGCATAATGGCTATAGATAACAGCACTTTAACTATATCATTGGTTCGCACAACCAATCAGTGATATGGTAACAATTGAAGAAATTGCATCAAAAAAACAACAACAAAAACTAATGAAATTGGAACTAAGATGATGCTAGTGCCCCTTGAAGAAACAAAATGCATATGTAACAGAAAATCAACATATACATAGCTTTGATATCCTTTAAGTTGTATGAATCCGCACGTGGGTAACAATATACGGAGCAATCTAGCCAAAACAAAGGATGGGAAGTTTTGTGCCCCTCTCAACCTCCCAAAACACACAGAGCGGATAGAGAGAGAAGGAGAAAGGATTAAAACGTACCAGATACAACTGGCAAATATTTGAAAATAAATATTATCAAATTTAGTTTCAATTGCAAAAGATACAGCCACGGTAACGGCCATAATTAAAGGGGTTGTGATCCCCTGTCACTCAACATTCAAGCGCAGAAATAAAAAATAAATTGACCAAAATTTTTTTAACGCCAAAATCTTAGTCTATGGGG